GAAGACGGGCAAGTTAGGGCCTCGGTATATTGGACCTTTCACGGTGATCGTGAGAGTAGGCAGGGTAGCCTACCATTTGGAGCTACCTGCAGAGTTGGGTCAGATTCATGACACTTTCCACGTGTCGCAGTTGAGAAAGTGTATTGCCGACGAGTTGGCAGTGGTACCATTAGAGGATATTCAGGTGGATATGAGCCTGAACTATGTTGAGAGACCGGTGGAAATTAGAGATTGGAAGATCAAGATTCTGAGGAACAAGGAAAGGGTCAGAGCTCACTTGGAAGCCGGAGCGCAAGATGCGTGAGCAACATCCAGAGTTGTTTGCAGAGTGAGACTTCGATGGCGAAGTGTGATTCTAGTGGGGGAGAATTGTAACATCCGGATTCCCAGGTATATTATTTTATTCATTTATTTTGGAGTTTGTGGAGGGACTCAGCGAGTTGGTGCTTAGACTCGCCGAGTAGGGTCGCGGATTCTCATCCGGGTTCATGACTGGACTCGGCGAGTCCATGTTGTTTAATGAAAACCTAATTTCCCGGGTTTGGGACCTATTTAAAGGCCCTTAGGGACATCATTTGCGGCTACCAAACCCCAGAGAGAAACCCTAAGAGATCTAGAGCGATTGTGAGGAAGGAGAGGCCACTTTTGATCATTTTGTTGGTGTGATTGCAAGAAGGAGGTGACCAAGGCAAGAGGAGGCTGAAGAAGGAGCAGTTCTGGTGATTCCAGAGTTCAGAGACTTCATCTTAAGGTATTTATTCGGACCTTCTTCAGATTTGGTGTTGATTCTTAGAGTTAGGGTTTTTCTAACCTCTTTAGAGAATGGATATGTAGAGCAATTGGTCCCTTCTCGAGTTTATGCTTTGGATTTGGACTCAAAGAGGTCCAGAGACCTTAACCCTTGGAGCTTTATGGGTTATTTTGGGAGCCATGAACTTATGGTGTTATTTTTGGGGCTAAATCACCAAGTGGAACCTTTTAGACGTCCCATGAGTGTCAAAATTCGAGCTTTACATGTTTATCAGGCTTGGGAAGGTCAGATCTATGGACCAAAGGAACAGATCTGACCTCAGGAGGTCAATTGAGTTTTTGCATGCCATGAACTCGCCGAGTCCAAGGGCAGACTCGGCGAGTAGGGTTAGGGTTTCCCGTAAATCACTCAGCGAGTAGACCCACCGAGTTGGGGGGAATAACTCAGTGAGTCAGAGAGGGATTAGAGGACTGGAGTTCGTGACGGAACTCGCCGAGTTGTTCTTGAGACTCAGCGAGTTGAGTCGGGGTAGCCCCTCGATTCATGCCAGGTGTGATTCGTCGAGCAAGGGGAGGGACTCGACATGCCAAGCGAGACTAGGGAGTTAGTGGACACGTGTAGACTCACCGAGTTGGCCAAGTGCACTCGACGAGTCAGGTCAAAGTTTGACCGTTGACTTTGGTTGACTTTTAGGGTTTGGTCAACAATGAGGGCCTTTGAGCCAAGGTGGGTAAAACGGTCTTTTACCCTTCTAAGGGTGCCAAGAGAGGGTTGAGTCTAGTCCTGCGAGTTATATTTATGAGAGTATTACTTTATGTGATTAGGTGGAGGCTAGATCGTCTTTCTACCGAGTCAGAGATTTACCGAGACATCTGAGGTGAGTCTTCTCACTATACTTTACCTTGAGTGGTAATTAGAGTCATTTGACATATTTACTGTATGCTATTATGTGATGTGTTGCACTGCATTATTTCTATGTGATTTATGCCATGTGTATATCAGAGTTAGAACCGAAAGGTTCACAGAGTTAGGACTAGAGGGTCCATGGAGTTAGGGCCCAAGGGCCCACGGAGTTATAGCCATAACCCCTTACGAGTAAGCTTTGGTCAAAGTCTAAGTCATAGTCAACACCCTGGTCAACTCAATCTTCTGGTCAAAGTTAACATCCTGAGTTGTCTCAACTCTTCAAGTTGGTCCATCACCACATCGAGTTCCATGAATCATAAACCCTGAAAACACGATTCAACTCGTTGAGTTCTTTCATGAACTCGTCGAGTTCCCCCTTATAATAGAGTTGGGACTTCACAACACAACTCGTCGAGTTCCTCCTTGAACTCGTCGAGTTCTTCAATCTTCAAAACCCAAAACCATGGCCAACTCATTAAGTCATCTCCTAGACTCGCCGAGTTTGCCCAATAACAGAAAGGGTTGGGGGGACTACGATCCAACTCGCCGAGTTGGATGAACAACTCGTCGAGTTCTCCTTGCCTAAATCCATTCAGTCACTTCCAATTGACTTAAATGCTTCCCAAACCATAGATTTGGTCCCTTAGGGACGTTATATCACGTAAAGTTGTTAACTTTACATCCATGCATGGTGTCATGAAGCTAGAACACCAAAATTAAGCTATATAAGAGATCTAGGGCATGGAGAAGGGCCAATGCTTGATAAAGCTGACAACTTTAAGCCTCATAAGCTCATGAGTGCCTAGATTTGAAGTCATAACTTCATAATATACTCAAATCCCGAAAATAACTTCAATATGGCCCAAAAGTGACAACATACTACCCTAAATGAAGATCTAAGTAATAGAAACCCAAGGTATCAAATTTATACCTCAAATGAGTTAGAAATGCATCTCAAAACTCTGGATCTACTAGCTTCCTCTTGAATCCCCAACCTTCTCCTTCCTTCACAAGCTTCAAAATCACAAAGAATGCACAAAAATGGCTCAAAACTCTCCAAAAGTCGATAAGGGTTTCTTGGCTAGGGTTTGGGACGATGGAGGTTGTAAATGAGGCTAGCCTTTGGAGGTTAAGGTGTTTAAATAGGGTGCAAAACCCTTAAAATTAGTGTTTCATTCTACCAAGCCTACTCATCGAGTTGAGGCTCTCAACTCGTCGAGTAGACTTCATCACCCGTGTCCAAAAAAATATCTCTACTCGACGAGTTTGGGGCCTCCAACTCGTCGAGTTCCTGTTCAAAAATGAATAACTTATACTTTAATTACATACCAGGAACTAGGTGTTGCAGTTTTCATTCCAATCGTCAACACGTCGTATTTCAAGAGGTAACACACCGTGTTGAGCTTAATGAAAGTCGTGCTTCTTCTTATCTAAACACGTCTTCTTATCTAAACACGTCGTGTTGGTTCCTCTAACACACCATGTATAATCCTCAAAAGGGGATTTATTCCCAACAATTGTTCCTCAATATCTCGGGTGTTACAACATATCAATGTCACCACCTCCGACACCATAACCTATCACCGCAAACAACTTCCCCTTCCCTTTCCCCGATTTTCTTCTACCTTCGTCTCCCCCTTCTCACCCATTCCCGATAACCATCCAAAACCCCAAATCATTGTACCAAAATCGGACCCCAGACTATCATCCTTATATTCGTTCTCTCCCTCTGCCTTAAGAACACCAACAACCATCGAAACCACCAATTTCAATCTATATGCTTCTTGGTGAAACCCAATAATCAAATCGATCCACTGCTCTAATCGAAAGTTATTTCTCTAAACCATAACCATCACCATTGAAACAATAGTTCAATCTTCGAAACCTTGAAATAACGACGAGATTTAATCAACACAAATGATACCCATAAGCAATCGCAATCATAAGTTCACAACATCTTACTGTAATCGAAGTCTCAACCTATCTTCATCTTCAATATCGAAACAAGTAACCGATTGAAATCAAGTCCAAGACAAATCCATTGAAAAAAAATCAAACCTAACTTGACATGAAACTCAAACTCAAAATCAAAACCTACATTAGTTCCAATTTATGGATTTGAGGACGATGAAGGAGGAAACTCAAAATCAAAATCAAAATCAAGTATTTCTCTCTCTTATCGTGCTATATCTCACCCATTTCCTCAGATCTCCTTTTTCGCTTTCATCGAGTATGTCTCTCTCAGACTATTTCTCTCTCAGTATCGTGTTATATCTCCATCTCACTTGGCCTCTATCTTGATATCGTATCAGAACACGTGTGTATGTGTTTTGGGTTACTCTTTTATCTCTGATCAATAACAACGTGAGGGTTTGGAAGTGAAAGGGGTGGATGGGTTGGAGAAGTTGAGTAGGTATTGAAAAAGAATGACAAGAGAGAGGGAAAGAGATCAAACGAAAGAGGTAGTGGTATTTTCCAGTGTAGTTGAGAGAGATAGAGATTAGAGAGGTTTTTTTTTTTTTTTTTCTTTTTTAATTGATAAATAATAATAAATAATATTAGATTAATTAAAATAGATAAATATCCAAGGGCATTATCATCATTCAAAATGTGGCGCGAACTACATTCGCAAGATAAAAACATATCAGGGACGAAGTGTACAAGTTTTAAGCAAACGAGGGACGGTTCGAGTTAATTTTTGAAAATAAAAACTAAACATGTCTTTTGGCACCTGCATAAGAGACGATTGGTGTAATTTACCCTCTATAGAAGTGTTAATAGTTTGTTTCAATTTGTTTAGATCATAAAGATGAAGATGAAGTTGAAGGACCACGTGCTAATTTAGGGGCTCTTAAAATTAAGCAAAGAACACTTCCAATAGTTACAATGGTTGTTGCAACAAAGATGAAGATTGGAGTTAGATTAGGTCTCAAAAAAACATACGAGGGACGAGTAATTTACCCTCTATAGAAGTGTTAATAGTTTGTTTCAACTTGTTTAGATCATAAAGATGAAGATGAAGTTGAAGGACTACATGCTAATTTAGGGGCTCTTAAAATTAAGCAAAGAACACTTCCAATAGTTACAATGGTTGTTGTTGCAACAAAGATGAAGATTGGAGTTAGATTAGGTCTCAAAAAAACATGATCATATAAAAGGGAAGTGGGGGAATTTTTTTTAAGAAGGAAGAAGAATGGGGAAGAAGAGAGAAGGGGGAGTAGATGAACGGAGAGAAGGATTTTTTTTTCCTTTTTTTCTTTAATAAAGTGGGGGTGGTGGTGGGCTCCTTTTTATTTACTAAAATTAAAATAAAAGATAAAAGAGTTAAAGGAAAATGGAAAAAGAAATTAAAATGACATATTAGTCATTTTAGGTTTTTAGGTTTCCAAATCCACATACAAACATCCGATCCAAAAAAAGTAATGGCTTGGACCAAAACCCGAAAAAAAAAATACCATTGTGTCCTACTTTGTAGTTTTGTCTTGGACAATCTCAAAATTATCGACAAAGGTTTTTTTTGCAACTTGGGAGCTTCCCACGATGTCTTTTATGCAAATTCTCCAACATGCCTTTGCGGTTTCACCAAAAGTAATTCATTCAATCTCATCATAAGTTAAATGAGAAAAACGAATATCATATGTTTGGCTCCAAAGTGCCCAAAAAAATTATATTATCTTCCTGCCGTGCAATTCAATTTTGTACCTTTTAACTTAAAGACCATCTAACAAAAGTACGTTTGATCCAATCCCATGCATAACCTCCAAATAGATAGTCTAACAAAAGCTGTCAGATCCAGTGAGTGCATCATCCATCATTGGTTCGTTTTGTTGGTGATTTTCCTTTTCGATGGAATTGCTCTGGCAAAGGCCTTGCTGCTCTTGTCTTCATGCTGAAACCCCGTATGCAAACATATCCTACAAAAATAATTCAAATTTTATAATGTCTTCTACTTTCTACAAATAGTTTCCATGAGTTGCTGCATGTTTCATGATAGACATAATAGGTGCAATGGGTTTCTGGTGACGGATATGGACTTAATGTAGAAAAAACTACTCGAAACAGAGTCCTAACTTGCTACAAATTTGTTAAGACATTTTTTAATTAATACCTTTCCAAAAGCAATCTTGTATTTCCTGAGCTGACAAACCTGTGTCACAAAGTTATAATCAACCGTTATTTTTCTGGTTTGGTAAGAGTAATTAATAGATAGGTATCTACCTTCAAATATTGCTGATATAGATGTTCCACAGAATAGCATCTTTTTAGTCAGACCCCATAACAACTTTCGGGGGAAAACAAGTGGTTTTCTACTCGATTCATCATCAGCAAATACCTAAATCAACCATCACAACTAGAAAATCAGGAATCAACATATATATATATATATATATATATATATATATATATATATATATATATTTGATATATGAAAAGGAAGAGTACCTCGTTGATCTGGAAGAATGTCCCATCAAGTGGAAATGACCCTCTAGTTGCTGTCCGACATGGCACCTGTTTGTGTTTGTTTGTATGTACGAAACCAATACATGTTAGGCTTAAATTGCAAGAAAATAGCAATCTACTTAATTCACAATGTTGCTACTTAATTGAAGCTCATGGAACAATCTTCACACAGAACAGTTTTGCTCACCAAATATGTTCCAAACACCATCTCTTCTTCTTCCTGTGAATCGGTTGATTTTAGTGAACTGTATTCTTCTTTGAGCATTCCGGAAGGATTCTGGAGGGCTTCTCCTGACATAAAAATATAATAATGTACAAAAATCGATAATTTACAAAGTTAAATACTGTAGCTTTTACAAGGGATAAATGCAAGAAGCAACAATGTACTTTCATTTGTTTTTGTATTATAGCATCCTACTCTCATTTATTTCTATTATAGCATTGTATGTTTAACTTTTTTTTTTCTATCAAGGCATTGTACTTTGAAAATCTACCCAATTATAGCATTTTATATTTGTTCTTATTAGTACGTCATACTTTGACAAACAACCGAATTATATTTGGATGATACTGCTAAAATTTGGGTAAAATTTTAAAATACAACATGCTGTAATAGGACAAAATGGGAGCAGGATGATATAAGAAACAATAAATCAATGAGTGTACCTTGCATTTAACCCCTTATACAATGTCACACCTTCAAGGGCTTAGAACCCCATAATTGCGGGACCATCTTCTGATCCACAAAACCAAGAAAAGAATGCATACACTTCTCTTTCTTTTCATTTATGAATTTCTGAGCATCCTTTTTTTTCTTCCTAAAATTCATAGAACTACCATCTTCTCATTCTAAACATACATGTTTCTTCTTGTTGAGAACATGGATTAAATTTTGAATCATTGAGAGTTAAAATGTAAGCAAAAAATTATTGTACCTGGTGGCCATATAGCAAGTAGATAAGGATTCTTGTCATCAAAGTCTCTTTTGTCCAACTGCAACACAACCACCTCAAAAGTATAAACAAATATGTATTTGTATCTATATACGGGTTGAATGCAATAAATATCAACACACTTTCGTTTCCTCCCACTACGCCATTGTACTTTTAAACATCTAGCAATGTTATCCAAATACAAAGCAATTTTGAGTGGATTTTTCCTAATAAGAAAAATATTCAAAGTGCAATGCTATAACTGGGTAAATTTTCAAGGTGCAATGCTGTCATAGCAATAAACAAAAGCAAGCTGCTACAATAAACAAATAACTGAAAGTATGCTTCTATTTCTTGCATTTAGCCTATATGAGTATAAGAAACATGCACTGACCACTTGCACAAGAGGATGCGAATCGGGAAGCTCATAGCTGCATTGCACATATACATATACATAGATTAGGATATAGGCCTTGTCACACAAGTTGTTGGAGGTTATAATCTAATTGTCAAAGCTATCATCATGGAAAAGGTAACTGCCATTAACTCAAAGGTTATTATATATATATATATATATATATATATATATATATATATATATATATATATATATATATATATATAGGTAATAGCAAAAAACATACTTCGCTCTCGCTACCAATACGGGCAATGTACTTTGATTTTTCCCCATAATAGCGACATACTTACAAATTTTTTACAGTAATATCAATATAGTTTATATTCTACCATAATAGCAACATAGTTATATATTTTTTCCCATAATAATAGTGGACTGACATTTCTTTACCAATAATATGGGCGATGTACTCTAATTGTTACATATTGATATTATCAGTAAACAATGTAGGTTCTGGTGCGCTGCTATTACCGATAACAAAATGTAAGTACGTTGCTATATGCATAAAAAATATATTATGCATGGGTTGCATATTGCTATTGTTGGTTAACTACGTTGCTACTATGGTTAAGGATTACAATGCTATTATGGGTAAAATATAAAATGCATTGCCTATTTTGGTAAAAAGATTACTGCGTGTTTGCTGTTTCCTACAATTTGCCCTAATATAATAACCAAGATTAGAAAATAATACAGAATTCTTACACTTGGTGTTCTGTCCTTGATCTGCCTGCATTTTTCATAAGCTCTTTGGTTTTAACAATCACAGGACCAAGGCAATGATCTTCGATATCTTGTTCGAATCCATTTTTAGTGTTTTTCTTTTGTCTGGAAGATGAAACTGGAACAAATGTCTTTTTCTCTGGTGGTTCAGGCCTGCTAGTTAGCATCTTTGAGTATGTAGATCAGCCAGGAATTTCATCATTATTACTTGGGTTAAATGCAAAAGAATAGCAATGTACTTTCATATATTTGTTTATTATAACATCCTAAGCTACTTTTATTGTGTCCTATTACAACATTGTACTTTGAAAAACCTGCCCAACTATAGCAATGTCATTCAAATAAGAAGAAATTTGTATTGCTATAACTAGGTAGATTTTTCTAAGTCCAATGTACTACTAAAAGAAATTTTAAATTACAATGCTATAGTTGGGTGTTAATAAGAAAAAAAAATTGAGAAGACAATGATGTAGTAGGAAAAATATCTTATAGTAGGATGCTATAATAGTTATATAAATAAAAGTACATTGTTCTTTCTTGCATTTAGCCCTTATAAGTTCATCTTGACGTGATTTTTGCTTATAAAACAGGCTGCAATATGTATCACTTGCACTTTATGGCATAGCCAAAAACAAAGTGTTAACAACTATAACGAAAAGGATAGATCACAAATCACGATGACGGTATGAACACTTGGAATTATAAAAAAAAAAAAAAACAAATAAACAAATAAAAAGGCAAAATGTTCGAAACCTTGCATATGCACTGGCAAAATGACTGCAGTCTTTCTTTAATGGACAAGAACTGCAATTTGGTTTCTTCTTCGTGCAAAACACCTGCACAATTTGAAATACGATATACATGACAAATGCATATTAGTAATTAACTACTGTGTTTTCAAGATAATTATATAACTACTTGAAATATTATGCATTTCCTTACTTGTTTGTCCAGATCTCATTATTTGGATCCTTATTAATCAGAAAATCATACTCGTAGTTACTTTACAAAAACTCTAACTGTTATTTCAACTTCAAGTCATAATAGTCAGCTTAGACACACATTCAAAGTTTCAAACATTCATCACTACCAGATGCATCTAATTCAAATATCAAGTGGGCCAACTTTATGCTTTTTTCTAGCGCATGAATTGGATTTTCAACCACTATTCTTGTTAAATGGTAAAAAAACAAACATTGAAGTCTGCATTTTCTAGCGGATTTGCTGAATTTGTGGTTGGTTAATAATGTATAATTTAAAAACAATAATAATAAAAACCTTGTTTATCTTTTGTGCTAAAAAGAAGAAATTTTGATTTTTGGGTTATTTTTTACGTTTTCCTAGATACATTTATTGTTTTACAACAAAATGAGAAGTGCAATGATTTAATTAACGTCTACATTACTTTTTTTTTTCCATCATACCTTTCCAAAAGTGATCATTTGATAATGAAGTTCGTACCTGTGTTAAATAATTTGCAGGTATTTTATTAGAGTGGGTTATATTTATTTATCATGAAAAAACAAAAGATTAAACCCAAGAAATTACAATGTTTCGGCATCAAGGTTGCCAAGCCTCAGTGAGAGATACTCTTGAACAGATTTCATGATAGGGTACCTGATAACAAGGTTGATAGCAAATAGAAAAAAAAAAAAAAAAAAAAACCCACAAACAGTCAACATGGTCCAATCATATCATAATATTAATAGCAAATAATTCTATGGTAGTTCAATGGAAATGAAGTTGTCACTCACTCTTCTAGCTGATGTATGAGAACGTCATCAGGAAGCTTTTTAATTGGGACCCATCCCAAGCGAACCACTATTCTAGCAATATGTCTGTCAACCTTGTACAAAGCATGCATATGAAAACCTTAATTTATAAATAATTAATTCAAATTGCTAAATTTTAGAATCTTACAGGGAATGCACGTTGTCGTAGTGTCAATAGACGCACACATTCCATGCTTTTTATACCCAATCCATATACCCGAGACAAGAAATCCCTGCACGTTCATTCTACAAGTCAGGACTCGGTCCTTTTATTATTATATTAATTATTATTATTATTATTATTATTAGCTGGCAGCAGCATATAAAACGGTATACACATATGTAGGCAACATCTACATGGGGAAGCTAAATCACAAGACCAAAGGTTTTTGTAGGCAACCCTGCACTTATCAAGTTATCATTATCTTTCACATATGTGTAAGCATCAACAAGTTCCCTCATGACAATTTGACAGTTTAACCAATTAATTTGGAAAATCTTACATTGCTATTCCAGGTTTAGCATTTCTTAACCACTCAAGATCAAGAAGCCCAGAGTTTTTATCATGTATGCTATCAAGGAACATCTGCACGTACAAGTTAAAACTTCATATTGTTTATCTGCTTTTTATGCATTTTATGAAAAATACTCTTGTTACCTTGATTCGTGCTGCAAGTCTAGTGTTCATTCCTCTTTCGTGGATGGCGTTAGAGATCTCATCAGCCTGTGCACATCGAACTGCATTCCAGTCCAGCGCGTCTTCAGTGTGATTGTCACTATTATTAATGATATTCTCCTTGGGGTATTTTGCAGCCAGAGACATGAAGGCAGAACTAACAAATATTGTGTAAAATAAATAATATATAGTGATTAGTGAGTGTGAGTGTGAGCGTGAAGGAATACTCATCATGTCTCCAAAAAGTATTGTACCGAGCCACAAAAAGGCTACACTTACCTTGAATAACTGTCTGCTGTATTTTGTGTTAAGAAAACACCAACTACAGAGTCCACGACAGAACCTTTCCAACCCATGAAAGGCCTATTTCCTGTTAATTTCATTTATAAAACAATATCATTTTCTTAGAAAGCAATTTTTTGATAGATATTAAAATTGAATTTCTGTTAAAAGCTAGAAATGTGTATGAAAAATATAGACGCCACATTGCAATGTGCTTTACCTTCTTTCCAAAATAGGCAACATATTTTATTTGTTACCCACAACAGCAACCAACTTGCATTTTTCTACCAATTTAGGCAATGTGTAACCTAGAAACCTATCAGTGATGATGTAGCTTGAATTACAAAACCCGACCCAATGCCCACCGACTGTAGCGACTTCCATCAAGACTAGGCTAGCTCTCTAATGGAATGTTTACCCGTCGATACTTGCTCCTGCTTATTGATTAGGGCGAGTCACTCAAGTTCCTGTTCCTAAATAAGTTATCTAAAACTCACTCAAATCGAGCTAATTAAGTGGCTCGTTTCGAATAAAGTCACACCCCACTCTTAGCCTTAATCGGGTGGTATTTGAACTTGGGTCACTCTTACCATGTCATCCTCCACAACCACAATGGCCAAGATTATGACCACTAATCCAATAATATAAATTAAAAATTAAATAAATAAAAAAATTAAATAAATAAATAAATAAAAAAAAAAACCTCTAACCTTTCAGATATATAGGTTACAAAATGGCCTATATTGATATAAAAATGCAAGGTGATTTTGATTTAAGGTTAACAATAAAGCGCCTTATCTATTTTGGTAAAATGATAAAGTTCGTTGCTATTAGATGAGGGAAATGAGTGTCGATGTTCTATGAAATAATAGTTTTAAGGATAACCAAACATAAATTATGGATATATATGTTGTTTATAAGTTCCAAAAACCAAAATCCTTATTTAATTTGAGACAATTTAACAATATGTTGTATGCATTTGTATACAAATGGAACTTCCTTTACGGTTGTATAGCCCCATAGGTTTTGGGATGCTGATGGCCTCACAAATTACCTTGAACAAGACGCATGGAGTTGATGAAACGCAAAGCCCTTTGTCGGAATAACTCCTGCTCTTTCTTACACCATTCGTCTTCCTCTTTCTTATTGTATTCCAAACCTTTAATGGATAACAAGAAGGATAAATAAAAGGGCTAAATGCTAATTACTAAATTTACCAAAAAGGGGAAGCCCATATATCACAAAATGACCAGCTCTTAATTAGATGATTATCGCAAAAAGACCAAATAATTTTTGTTTTCGTGATATTGTTTTATCAATGGTCCGCCACTAAAAAATCTTCAATAATAATAATAATAAATAAATAAATAAACTGGGCAAAAAAGATATTGTTTCTTCACGAAATGACATCATTTATGCGGAAAGAAGATGGCAAAATGTGGTGAGGTCAAACGGTGATAGAACCAACCCCATTTTTGTCATTTTTGTGATTAACCCTAAACAAAATGTAGTTCTAATAGTCCAGTCAACCCCGCCTCCCTTTTTAAGACTCCTATGGAAAAACTCCACATGTTGAGTTGGTATTGGATTTGTAAAGACATTCAAGTCTTTTTATCCAATGTTTTAAAAGCAATAGAAAAGGTTCAACTTCATAAGAAATATGCATCTGTTTTACTCCAAATGTTAAATGGGTATTAAAGAAACCATGAGTAAATCATTAGAAAGTGGTGATAGAAAGGTGCGTACTCGTCTGTTGGTAATCTGCGATGTACTTTCTCACGTTGCGGGTGAAGCAAAACCCCCCCTCAGTGTAGACCAGCATCGTTTTTGTTTGGATATATGCAGAATCAAAATCCAAACGTCTTCTGCAAGATGACTTCACATTTGAATCTCCTCTCCGACGACAACCGGTAGAAAGGGAAGGAGTCGCCTTTGTAGTTGGGGAATTGGCCATCACTTTTGGCCTAAACTTGGCCTTCAATTTGCTCGGCGTCTCATGGTTTACGTCAATTTCATGATCCTTGTTTGATAATTTGATTGGCGTACATGGTGCGGAACCCGAAACCCTCGTTACCTTTTTACCACCTAACAGAAAACAAAAGAACACAACAGAGAGACTCGGTCAGTCGGCTAATCATAACAAATTTATTTATTAAAAAAAAAAAAAAAAAAAAAAAAAGCAAGTAGACGCCACGCCTAAAGGTTTCAGACTACATTTGTTGTCTCTCATCTTAGAGCGCAAGCACCTAGAGTTTCATGCAGCATATCGCAAATGTACATAAGCCATTTCAGTTAAAAAGGCTAACTACCAAAGAAATCCAATTACACACACAAACACTCACGAAATGCACCGGATGTTTTATTTGGCGAAGGAAGAGCGATCATAAGAGGCATGGCGATTGTGGCGTCTTGTAGGCCTGACGGTTGTTTGCGTTTTTTTGTCTTTTTGGTCTCCATATCCTCCTTACAGGCGCAGTCCACCACACACACAGATGGGTGGTAGAGTTGTCGATATTGCAACTTGAAGAAACGACGGCCGCCCAACCTCGATTTGGGAGCCGTGAACCACCTCGATTTGGGAGCCTTGAACCACCTTCTTTATTATCTTTTATAGATGTTTTGCAAAGCTTATTAAAATTACAATGTTAAAATAGAGATTTTAAAAAAGTTTTTGACTAATTTATTTTAATTTTTAATATATAGCGTGTTAATTAATTTATAGTAGTGTTAAAACGAATTTATAGTGGTGTTAAAACGAAGTTTTTAAAAAAAATATTTAATTAAGTTTATCCAATATCAAAACGTTTACATGGTAATTTATTTATAATGTTTGTCAAAAAAAATTATATTTATAAAATTACCAAAAAAAACTTCCTTGACTTTTTTTATTATAAATAATATAACTAATAGTTTTTTTATTTTTAATTCTAATAAGATATTTTTTACAATTAAGATTCTTTTTAATATAATTTTAATCAGATTTTTTTAAACAACATTTAAAATATTAACTTTGTCAATAATAATACTATATTAATCAATAATAACGAGAATACAAAATAGTTTCAAAAACAAATCAAACGTTGTTGACCATGTGGGTTTAGCATGACATATATATATATATATATATATATATATATATATATATATATATCTTGCGATCATATCTCGTACTACACTCATATGCATATCGTCAATATGTTGTGTACTTGATCCTTCTTCCTGTGCTTCATTATCGCCTTCAATCTCTACATCACGACGAAGAATGTAAGAGCCTTCAATCTCTACATCACGGCGAAGAATGTAAGATTCTTCTTGCGGTCTCTTAAATGTTTCATCACCACCACCACTCATTCTAATGTAATTGTCAATCGTCAATAAAGATAGCATAATATTCACTTGGTTCTCGTATTTGAAATTTGCATGCATATCTTTGAGTAACTCTCATCAAGCCTTCTACACTCCAAATATATGTTCGATAACATTCGAAGTGGCGAGTGATAAAAGTTAAATGTTTCTTTGAAGCCTCTAGGATGACATGCGACAATAGTCTATCCACGCTAAAAATTTGGAATATGGTAACAAATGTTTTTGCCTTTGTAGCAAGCAAGGTAACCTCTTGTATTTGGATACTCAGCATCTACAAGGTAATATTTATCTAAAGTTAGAAAAATAAAACATGTGATTGTTATTCATTTCAACTGTTTGGCAATATAAATTTCTCATTAGTAAAAGTTTTAACCAACCATCGACTGGATGTGGAAAATTAAGTTGTCGTCTCTTTAACGTTTTATTGAAGAATCTCGTGTCATGTATGGTCCTTTCCCATTCGGCTCAGGAAAATTTAAAACACATATTGAAATCACACGTTGCCATAATATTTTGTATGATGTATCATTTTCTTCTAATGTATTTGACTTGCTCAGTCTCTCGTAATGATGCCCTTGTGTGAGTTCCATCAATAATACCAATACAATCCTACAAATTCACAAAATATCATAAGTTAGCAATTATTTTAAAGTTACTACAATCATATAATGAGCAAAATATAAAAAGTACTTTGAAGTATGGAAAATGCTTAGGATTATTTAAATTATTTAAAAAGTTACTACAATTAACGTATTTGACTTCCCCAAAATGGTTAAATGTTTCTTGAACTAACATATTTCCACATCCATGCGCTAATGTCATCAAAAAGATCCCAACTGACTCATAAATAGATTCATGACGCTTTTGTTTTATCCCATAATGTGTTTCTCTACATAACATGTTGAAAATTGGAGCGTGTAAGCTAAATACTTCATAACATTGTCTATGATGACGAGTAAGTACTTCGTTCATAAATATATTTCATATACGCGAAGATGTATGGCAAGGTATATGTGTCTTACTCATTTTATGAGTTAATAATAACCCTTTGACAGCGAGACCACATAATTAAAGCCATTGAACCTCCTCATCCTCTAAATTTTCTAAGATCCATCATATGAATCATTACTATCCATCCTCTATAAAAATGTGAAATTAAAGACTTTGTTACCAATTATGATAATAAAGACATAAATAGATAATTAACCAACTAACATAAAGACATAAATAGACATTATATATGTGTTTATATTCGATAATATCTATTTATGTTAACCAACTATGATAATAAAGACATAAATAGATAATTAACCAACTAACATAAATAGATATTATCGAATATAAACACATATATAATGTCTAACATAAACACATACATAATGTCTAACATAAACAGGTAAATAAATAATGTCTAACACATAAAACTAGTTATCTTTCTGAATAGGCATCTTTAGAAACTCTGTCCTTGTTGCGTGAGTTTTTGGAACCATATAATTTTCACGAGCTGGCTTTTTTAGGAAGACATGAAGTGCTTGCAAATAGCCTAATGATCATTCTTCAAAACCTGGGAAACATGTCGCAATGTCTATACAATCTTCTGTTGTTGGTGAGGTGTTGGTTGATTTTGAAGTCTGAGTGCTTTTTGTTGATATTGTTTCCAAAACACTATTTAATTTCTCTTCCGATGATGAAACTGTTGCAGTTTTCCCTTTGGATGCATGACTAGGTGGGGAGTTCTTATGATTCTTTCTATTAATGGAACTACCTTGCATGAAAAAAGGCTCAACATCATCAAATAAGTTCACTTCCTCATTATCTCCCTTGCCCTCTGTAATATTGTAACATCCATAAATTTCATAAAAATTTAAAACTTTTTTAAACATCTAAAACCATTATTTATTACAAAATGTTTTCAAAATAGTTTCATATCAGAGAATCCTAGAAATCAAAATCATAAAATGTGAGGATGTGCACAATCAAGCCTTCGCCTTCCTGCGGTCATCCGAAGTACGTGAAACAAAATCCACAACTGTAAGCATGAAGCTTAGTGAGTTCCCCCAAAATACCCGCACAACAATAACACGCATAAAATAACATCATACTATGGGCCCAATCAACCATTAGGTTGGGATGCCAACATATTATGGGTCCAATCATCCTCGGGTTGGTATACCCTTGGCCCATAACCATCAGGTTGGAATGCCCACGTACTATGAGTCCAATCATCCTTGGGATGGAATACTCTCGGCCTATAACCTTTAGATTGGAATGCCCAGGTCTGTTGGCTTACACACAAAGCAAAAAATCCTCAACCACCAATTAAACATATGCACATATATCAGATAATCACATAATAGTCTATACACAATCAAACCGGTCTACATACCAGTAAGCATAAAAACATCCTATCTACAGGATAACGATCTAACATATCACAACAGAAATAAAGCATGATAACAATCCAAAGGGTCGGCCTTGGTGCCTTCGACCCTTGAGTATAGTGAGGAAAACTAACCTCACAAGTAGTGCTGAACTGGACTGAAAGTCTCCAACCGTTGTCTCACCGAAAATCCCGAACTATCAAAATAACGAATACTAAGTCAACAGTTGGAATATCAATCTTGACCAAGGGTCCAAACATAGGGTAATAGTCCATTCAATCTTTTCCTTAAGTTGGGATAAGGCCCAACTCCAATTCCTAAATCCAAAAGCCCAATATACAAGGCCCATATTTGGCCTAATTTCCAAATTGGGCCAAATCCCTTATTAGGCCTTACCTAAAGATTCGGTCCTCTAATTACCCCACAATTACACTTATCTAAATGATCCAGGAGGGCCCAAGCATCAAGGCCCAACATATGGCCTGATACCCGAAGCCCGAAATAGCTAAGCCCAACAGGCTGAGTACGCGGGGCGTACTTAGTTGTACGCTCGATGTAAACGCCTTGACCAGAAGACAGGACGTTGACCACCTACGCCCGATATATACCTTGGTACGCCCAACATATACTGTGGCCATGCAAAACTTCATTAAGTTCTTAATATACCTCGTCCAGACGTCCCAAGTTAGATCTATACTTAAAAAGATGTCCCAAACCATAAAGTTTCCAACGTTATGGTTATACATGCCCTATAAGTCCATAAACTCAAAACCATTGTTTGTCTTAACCATTTAAGACCTTTATATAATGCATGAAACCACTAAATGGGACAAGATGGCGTTCTTATGGTCCAAAACACCTTAAATCTTCTTAAAGGATGGATCCTTTGGTCTTAGAGTAGCATAACTCAACAAGACTAAGAAAAGGGACGCATTTACTCATAAATCTTCCATGCAAAATCTATGGGGAAATACAAGTAAAGGTAAAGGATTTTTACATTTTGGAGCTTCCCCAAGGGATGAAGATCACAGATCCAAAGCTTGAATCCATACCAAGGCTCTTTAAAGAGTCCCCTCTTCTTCTTCTTCTCAATACAAAGAGCTCTCACACACTCAAACTCACATACACACAAGGCTAGGGTTTGGAAAACGTCTCAAAGGTATGGAGGCTGAAAGTGTTGGGATAAATGAGCTATAAGGATACTTATATACCACCCAAACCCTAAATATTAGGGTTTTCACCTGACATAAGTATTCCCAACGTACACAAGTGTATGCACATTATACTGGGGCGCCCCTAGTATGCTCATCATACCCTTATGTACGCTCAATGTGCTCCTCCTAATAAAAAAAATACAATATTAGCCATTAGGGCATCTCATGGCTACACCTTTCCATTCCCAAGGACTAAAAATGACAAAATAATAATCAGAGCCGATCCTGGGAAGTTAAATTTTCTTAAAGGCCCAAGACGAATAAGAGAAAAGGGCCCTTATCGTTATTAGAATTTTTTATTTTTAAATAAAAAAATATAATAAAAAAATTGGGCCCTGTGCAGCTGCCCATCCCCCCCCCCCCCATCGCCCCTTATGATAATAATAAAGGGAGGATTCAAAAATACCTGCAAATTCTGGAATGTTACAACTCTCCCCCACTTGACCTAGACTTCATCCTCGAAGTCTGCTGCAATGAACAGATCTGGATAATGCTCCCACATCTCCACCTCTGGCTCCCAGGTCCACTCAGAACCCCTTTGATGTTGCCATTATACCTTTACCAAAGGTACTTCCTTGTTCCTCAAAACCTTCACCTTTCTCTCTAATATAGCTATGGGCCTCTCGACATAGTTTAGGTGCTTGTCCACCTGGAATGTCATCCAATGACACAACCGCACCCACGTCCAATACGCATTTTCGCAGCTGCGATACATGGAAAGTGCTATGGATCTGACTGAGCTCCTCAGGGAGGTCCAACCTGTACGTAACCGGGCCCACCCTGGCAATAATCCGTAATGGCCTGATATATCGGGGACCCAACTTTCCCCTCTTCCTGAAGCAGATCACACCCTACCAGGGTGAGACCTTTAGCAACACCATATCGCTGACATAAAACTTTAACTTGGATCGGTGTCGGTTGGCATAACTCTTATGCCGACTCTGAGCAGTCTGTAACCGTTGCTTGATCTATTGTATCATCTCTATAGTCTATAGAACCACCTCGGTCGGACCCATGACCCGGTGTCCAACCTCACCCCCAACAGACTGGGGTACGACATCTACATCCATACAACAACTCATAAGGTGGAACACCAATAATGGAATGGAAGTTGTTGTTGTAGGAGAACTCTGCAAGGGGTAGGTAGGAGTCCTAGCTCCCACTGAAGTCAATAATGTAGGCCTGAAACATATCCTCGAGGGTCTGGATGGTCTGCACACTCTGGTCGTCAGTCTGCGGATGATACGCAGTGTTGAAATGCAGTCTCATGCCCAGTTCCTCATGGAAATCCTGCCAGAAACGAAAGGTGAATCGAACATCACGATCTGAGACAATAAAGATCGGCACCCCATGGCGAGCAATGATCTCGCAGATATATACATCGGCCAGCTTCTCTGCCGATGAACTCTCCTGAATGGCCAGAAAATGGGCGCTATTGGTCAATCGATCCATGACGACCCATATA